GTGTGTGNGNGNGNGNGNGNGGGGGGGGGGGGGGGGTTTCCTTCCTTCCAAATCTGTCCGTCTCTCCAAACCACCAAGAAAAATGAAACAAGCGAATGACAGGAGTCGACGAGGACTTCCTAGAGGTGCTAAAAAGCGAATGTGGGAGGCGGGATGATAGCGGAGGACTGAGAATCAGACCTGAGGGTTGATGATGTACAGTTTAGTGAGATAGGTCGAAAAGGAGAGGGGAAGCCCAAGTGTTAAATAGCGCCAGTTTGGACTGGGTCATGGTGGGCTTGGGTGCAGACGGGCGTGACGGGGGACTGCTGGGTATCACTTGCGCACTTGGCCCTGCAGTTTCCGCGCACCTTCCATGTTCCCTTCCAGGTTCTCTCTGGGGTTGGGCAGAGCCGCCCGCCTGATCATTGGCTTACACGCCGGGGTCGGGGCCCTGTCACTGGTGGAGGGGACGTCAAGTTGCTGCCACACTCCTTCCTCCTCCCACTGTGTGCTCCAGTGCAAAAGCCCTTCCAGTTCCATTGCTCGAGTGCTCTTTCCGTGCAGTCTACCTACATAGATTGCTCCCCCATCTGCCATAACACCAAAACAAGGTGGAAAACCTGTGCCGTCATTGGCTGCGAGTCCACCGTCTGAGCAAGAAAGAGGAGGAGGAGATAGACGTACGTCCGAAAGAAGAGAACTTGAACCCCCAACAATGTACCCACATCCGACTGCTGCTCGCTGCCCTGCCCTGCACACCCGCCCACAATGCGACCAGAATGGGCAATCCACTCGCTGCTGCAGGCAATGAGATGGGGGTGCATGAGGTGCCCGTTGCGTGGACAATCACCTGGCACGAACAAGGGCGAGCGCTGATGAGGTATCGGTACCGCGGAATGTAGACGGCGGTGCCGATGAGCATCATCAACAATAACATCAACAACAAGGACAAGGTGAAAACCAAAAGAGCCGCCGCCCGTGGATCATCGCCGCTAGGAGCTGCCCTGCGTGCTATAGTAGAGGTTCCGGTGTACATGTCACGGTTCTACAGGGTGGATGAATGTAGATGGGTGGGATGGATGGATGGTCAGTTGTGTGTAACCGTTCAGTTCGATTCCCTGTCACTGTATCTGTCTGTCACTAGCGAGTCCTCCACTCTGCATTCAGCAGTGGTCGAGGTCGGCCTGACATCCAAATTCATCCGGCGATCAACGGACCATCCAACGGTCCAGCCGGTAGGTACCTTCTAAGCAACTTGCATCCAAAAGACCTCGGTAGGGGACCTCTCGAGCACAGGGCGCAGCAGCAGACATGACAGCAACATCAAGCATGAAGCAACAACGACAGCTTTTGGTAACCTGCCCCATCCGGTTTACTGTACATGCTACAGATACTGCAGTATGTACCATAGACGTTGGTTCTTCTAGTCCATCGTCATCCTGACCTCCCGCTCTCTCAAGATATGGGATGCTTGCTACCATCTTGCTGGACTCATCTGGCATTGAGAAATGATGATAAGTGGTGGGCCATAGTTGGGCTTGCAGACAACGATGAGGAAACAAAGGGAGCCAAAATCGAAAAGAAGAAAAAAAAGAAACATTGGTCACTTTACGACAAATTACCCCGACTGGTCTAACTGACATACTCCACCTAAAAGTTACCTTACCTAACCTTAACGCTACGGAATCAAGGGCACAGCCGGGCGGAACTGTGTGAAAGAATGGAAGCGAAGAGTGCGGAGTCGCCATGACCATCCATCCATTTTCCTGGGAACAAGAGTGATGAGGGTTGGACTGACAGAAGAGGATCTCCTCCGACGTTTTTCCATGTCCCCTCTCCACTCTCTGGATATCATATCAGAGATGGATGTGGCTTGTTGTTATTGCAGTACCGTTGCCGAGACGGAGACACGGCAGAGCGAAAGAATAAAAGAAGTGGAAGTAAAGCAGGCGTTCGAACGAAGCGAAGCGAAGCGGAACAACGAACGGGCCATCTAACTCCAAAGGGCAAAAGAGGTGACCGATCGAACGGGCTTTGCTGAATGGAACTCTCCCTCTCTCTCTCTCTCTCTCTCTCTCTCTCTGTCGCTTTTCTCCATCTGTCCCCGGCACCCAATCCATCAACTCAGGGAAGAGGAGTGGGCACCTTGAGGAGACCTCGCTTCTCCCCAGGTAGGTGCCGGTAGAGATGGAAGCGACAGATTTGGGTAAGTATTAGCAGATGTGTCGTCCCCGTTTTTACTGGCACCTACCAGGCCACTGTTGTCGCACCATGTCATCCATCGTCCCTGACTCCCTGCACGTGTGTGTGGTGGTGTTGGTGTTGTATGTAATGGCAAAAGTACTATAGGTAGGTAGCAGTAGTCAAGGGAGACTAGTTTAGTACTCGTAGAAGTAGGTAACGTAGCGTAGCGTCTATTTTCTGTCTTTTTCGTGAGTGCGCTTCATGATTTTGGATTTAGGTGATCGACGGCCGAGGGACACAGTAGGGGTACTAGTGTACTCTACAGTGTCGAACTTTACCAATCAATACCTCAACTTTGAGAGAACTGATAACATGATAGAAAATGGCACCCTTTTTATCAACTTCAAAGTGACGAGATGATGCTCGTTTGGACTTGAAAGACTGTCCGAGTTCGTGCTGTTGAAGCTGCGGTGCGCACAGGAATAAGTTAACATCTGGGAACATCCTTGACCTCATCTCGAGTGCTTAGGCCTGCGGCTCGTTTCCGCTGTTGTTAGGCTTTGTTTCACGTCCTGTCTTCACGAGGCCCCTGTTCCTTGGAGTTCATACACTAGAACCATGATGAGAATCTCGAGTAAGCTATGCCAGCTTGGTCGGAAACTGAGGGTGAGGGCCCTTTCTTGCTTACCAACAACACTCTCCATCAGCAACCACTATGCAATATCTGTACATATAGTCTATGAGTGGGATCTGCGTCCTGAAAAGGCACCTTGATGAAACGATGTACCTACATTGCCTGACTGCCTGTCGGTTTCATCTTGTCCCAGAACGTTGGTCCTTTGTTTGTCGTTGGGAAGCCCCACAGCCGGTTCATGGCCCTTCCCATCACCTCGGTCCTTTCGCCAAGTCCGAATTGTCGCCAAGGCCTTAGCCCAAGTTCAAGTTTGTCAGTGCGGGTGTGTGTTGAGAGTGTGCTGTCAGGTGTGGTTTTTCTCTGAGCTTCTGGCGCCTGTGGAGTGCAGCTGCAGCACGCATTGACAGCGGGCGGGGCCTGAATGACACTGACTGCGCGCACTGCCCGGCGGTAGGTAAGCAACTGACGGAACTGAACTTCCACTTGAAATCATATCCATACTGTGCGAATGAATCGGAACTAAAACTATCATTCTACAGCTCTAACGGCGGCGGCTTCGCTTGGTAACGAAGCTTTATCTGTCGAACATCAATCTCGACGGGACTTTTTGAGTCCCGAGAAATACCCTCACCACCAAATGCCATATCGTGACAATGGCTACGGAGCGCTTCTCGTTCGACCAAGAGCGGTTATTTCTCCTGGATGAGCAACTCTCAGTGCAGCTGACTCTCGTCCAGTGTATTTCGGGCCCTTTCAATCAGGCGCAACAGCAGATCCGGCAGGAGCTTGCCGAAGTTAGCCCAGGTCACGATCATCACTGGGCTACGGAACTTAAGCGGGGCAGATAAACCGACTATGCTTGATTCCAAACCGCTTGTGTAGAGCCATGATCCAATTCACCTAGGGCAAGTGTTAGGTGCTGGGATTAGCTCCAGGAGTTCAGGGGGCAGTGAGAGGCCCCGTATACAAGTGTAATTTGAGCACAACAATAGAGGCGGTCTTGAACTCTTGTTGTCATTATTAAAAACGACGCCTTCTCGTAAGGACGTGGTAATGGTTGCCGGCGCGCGATGTTGATGCCAAGCTTCGGGTCTTAGCTGGGCTTGGCTCGAGCTTGGCGGGCTTGGCTCTTCGCTTCGATGGTCCCACACAGTCGGATTATCCGGTTAAGTCCCTTGGGTGGCCCCGGAGCCAAGAGCCTGCTCCACCTTTTTTTTTTTTTTTTTTTCCTTGTGGCTGGTTTCCTTCTTTTTATTCTGTTGCCTTGTCCCGCGTGCCTGATTGCTCGAGGGTATCAAACACATAAGTTGGTTAATCGTTGTGTAAGTTTACCTTTGAACTAGCTAAATATGGCATAGTCTGTGCATGGCCGGTCTTTAGTTTTCTCTCGCGGATATTAAATGATAACAAAAGGTAACTATTACGTACCTATTCCGACAACGGCTAGCCGAGGGTTAGGCCAGTTCATCACAAAGGACCCTGCCTTCCTGTTTATCCCAAGCGTGAGGGAGAAGAAGAGGAGGCTGGTTTAAGCTCATCTGGGGATAGCCGCCCCTGTAAGGCTCCAGGAACGGGCCGGATAAATCAACTGTGTTGGATTCTTGATTGACTGTGTGGGACACATACTAACAGCCACACTCGAACCAAGACCCCAAACTTACAGTAGCATCAAAAGTCATCATTTCGAATCACGACAACGAGCGCTTATAGGACGATTCATTGTGGATCGCCTTTACTCCTCTAACTCGCTAAGATCGCCGCAGTTGTTCTTTTTCTTGGGCGCACCATGAAACGAATTACAGTGAATGCTGGTGAATGCTGGTGTGTTATAAGGATTTGCGAGTCTGACACGCCCGGGCTTCCGTCACTAGCTTGAGCGGAATGGTAAGAGGGACCTTACCGAGTCAAACCTAGACTAAGGATAAAACTCTAGCAGAACATAAATTATCGAATGAATCACATTCACCATTCGACGTCTTTACATCGCGTCAAGTCTAACATGAGGCCAACTACTCACATGGTGGTTGAACCGTCAATAAATGTGGCGCCCTCATTGGCTGCACCCAATCCACACGGTCGATGAAGGATCGAACACAGTCGATTTATCCGACCCGGAAGAGTACATTACAAGTACCTGATGCGATGTGCCCCTGGCCCAATCAGAGCACCCCACAACGTACCGGAAACACAATTGAGGCGGAGCTTGCATGTTTCCATGCTAGCTCTCTTCTTTCCTCTATTGATGGTCCGTTCTAACCTCCAATGTTCCGTGGGTGGGCAACCGAACGACCTGTCTAGTGTACCTGCCTCCCTACCTGGACGGGCACTGACCGTTTTGGGATCTGGCCTGCATGACGCACGAACTTGACATTGACATCAACATCTCACGGCCCTGGTTGTCTCGTTGCCAAATGGATAGGGACTTTTGTAATTAACATTTGAGTGAAGTCTATTTCACCTGTCTGCGGTGCGCCAATGAATAAAGCCAATGTTACTATGAACCACTTCGGTTAAAATTGCGACCGGGCGCAGTAGCGGTGCTGGAACCAACGACAGTCCTCCAATTTCTTGAGAGGTCTTTCGGGGACGGAGGCAGAAACAACCGCCTAACTGCCTATCTGGTTGACGTTTTGAGGGGAAGCTTGGGCGCTCAACGAGGTTTTTGATGGTCGCGATTATCATCTTGCAGATGAGGGGGTTTGGGTTAGTTCACTTGGGAAGTGGGAAGATAACAGGCCAATGGGGAGTGGTGGAGATTCAGCTTGAGCCAAGCCACCTCAATACAAGGAGTTCCTTTGATGTCGATATGTCTGTGTGACGGTGGTAGAGTGTGCCATACTCTGCGGCACTCTCAGGCCATTTTGATCCGGGCCACCTTCGATTTTTCCTCGACAGTCGACAGGGATTTGGAAAAGCGCTCGAATGGTTTGCGTTGATGGGCGTGCTGTCCAGTGGTGGAATGACCTAGACTGCGGGCAAGAGGCAGAAGTATTACGCGAAGCCCACGTCAGGTTCGTTTTGAAGAAAATATGGTACTCTACAATACTGAACAAACCCAATGATCATTCACGAAGAGCCTGGAGACTTGATATTGGGCCGGTGCCCGGGCTGAGTTTTGCTCCGAATCATCCCTTTCTCAGATCTTACTGTCTTCGAAAGTACCTTCCAGTTTCCGATCTGTTGAAAAAAAATTGGGACGATGAGTGCAGTAGCGGGGTAGCTTGATGTCATCATGTCGAAGGCGAACAAAGTTCCTTCCCTTTGTGGTAGCGTTCGTGACGCGCACAGAAGGAATCGGCAGGGACACCCTCTCCCCTCTCCCGAGCTACCGGCCCTCCGGCACACAGACGAGCGCACAAATCCAAACGCAGAATTCCCAATCTTTCCATTCTGACAAAGAAGTTGGGGGTTTCTACAAACCAGCCCCTGCCAATGAAAACCCTTTTCATCAGATGTCCACCTATTTTTTCACAGAACACAAGACCAGCTACTGTCTACCCATTTGTCCACTTGCCAAGGACCAACTTGCCGGTTATATGCGAGCGCGAGCACCGACAGAGCGTAGCGTTTCTGGGATGCCACTGTATTGCGTAGTAAAAGTAAGTCCTCCCATGTTGATGATCGGTATTCCTCCGCGCCGTCCTCCGTGAAAGACTCCTCCAACATGGGCAGCACTACCGCGGCGCTACTACACTACACAATGTCTATGTAGTAGGTACATGCGTACACTACCTAGGCGAGACAGAGACTACATACCCTGCCCGATCCCTACTTTGAGTTCCGGGCAACGAACGGAACGGATACATAGTACAGTACGTACGGATTGTCAAAGTCTGGCATTCTGTCAGTTACATAGGTGTGTACAGTTCAATGCTGATTTGATTGTCAGCGCGGTTCTTGCAACAAGTGATATGATACAGACAAAACCACGTAACAACCACATTCGAAACGGAAGGTCGGGTAGGGTGTACGAAGCGTCCGAAACGCATCTGGTTGATACCAAAATCTTCCACGGAAATTGTGGAATGGTGATTGAGTTGCGCAGAATGCGTAGTGAAGTCCCGCGCCAACGAACAAACCAGGGGTGAACCACCACCGCAAACCCCGGCCTCCTTGTAAACGGACCAGTCGGCTGTACCATGACTCGAAATTCTCTCGCGGAGCCGTCCGTTGCCCGTGAGCCTCCCGAGCTCAGACATTCCGCTACGGGATAGTACGGGATCAGACACGGCCGTGAAAACCCCACTGCTTCGCTCTTGGCTCTCTAGCCCTACTTTCCAAGAAAAAAAAACGAAGAAAAAAAGCCTATTCGCCCCTGCTTTTTTCCGTCTTCGACCGTTGTGGTGAGCCGCAGATATCCATGCATCATAGATGGAGCGATGGAGCCTCAACTCGACAGCCCACCGTTGACGGGCAGTGGAGACCAATGGAGTTGCAGCATCGACAGAAAACATGCCAATTGTTTCGAGGGCACGTACAGCGTCGCAACTGATACCCTCGCGACGGAGCATACCCCGTTGAAGAAACTCAAGCGAATCATGACCTACGGCACCGTTGAAAAGGAGATTTTTTATCGGCCCCATCACCATCGGCCGGTCACGATTGTCTGCATAACGATAGTTTGACAGTTTGACTACAAGCGACAGCCGGTGGTGGATGGGATGGGATGG